AAAAGTTTATTTATATATTTTAAAGTTTATTTATATATTTTAATGAAAACTAATAAGTAATATTAAATAATAGTGATCTGCATCGGGCCTAATTTTTCAAGACCGGCCCGGCCCGAAATTTTTTTATAAAAGTTTTGCCGGCCCGGCCCGGCTCGAATTTATTTAAATATAGAAATTAATTTTTATAATTACTCAAAATAAAAGACATATGTTATATGTCGTTTAGTTTCATTAAATAAAATCAAATATTTTTATTTTACATAAAAAATTGATAAATTTAGATATATTTTAAAAAAATTCCAAAGTCCCGACCCGACCCGGCCCGAATTTTTTTAAAAAATATTAGGCCCGGCCCGAACCCGATTATTTTAAATAAAATTAGGCCCGAGCCCAGCCCGAAGCCGTTCGGGCCGGGTATGGGCCGGGCCTAACTTTGCAGATCTCTATAATAAAGTATGTTATTTTCCGTATTTTATTCTCGTTTTGTTTTATTTCTTTATTTTTTTTTATGGATGATTTCGGACATGTTTCATAATTTTATTTGCAAAAATTTATAAATTTTACGTTTATATAATGAAAATAATATTATATTCTTATATATATATTTATATGTCGTATCGGGATATGGAATCATGTGGGATTCGGAATCCCAACGTGGGGATTCAAGATTCAAGATTCGGGATCTTTTTTTTTAAATATTTTTTTTTAAAATATTTAAAAAATATTCCGAATCCCCATGAAAAATAAATAAATAATATAATTACTTTTTCTTCTCTCTTTTTGCGGCTGGCACCATATAATTAAAAGGCCAAAATTAGGGATTTAAAAAGAGAATTTAAAAAAAAGTTAATAGCATAAAATTAAGGCATATAATGAATGAAAAGGGATGAGGTTAAGACTTTTTTGTTTTAAAAAATATAAAAAAATATATTTATAAAAATCCGAATTATTGCAACAATTATTCAATGCAATATGGGATTTCATTGAACATTTAAGCAGGGACCCGAACATTTATAACGGTTCAGTTTGGTTGCGGTTCAGTATATAAAAAATTATAATGGTTTATTTTTCTAGATGTAATATTGAGTTAGCCGTTCTTAAAAATCAATTATGAATAAAGGAAAAATACTATGTATCTTTAGGTTGAGCCAAATAAGGTCAGACTCATTTAGAGATTGTTAAAACTAAATTATTTATAACAACGAACAAATTTTAAGTTGAGATTATCAAAATGTTTTTTTAAAAAAAGGCTAAGGACCAATATATATTTTTATATAATTTTAATATTTTAGTGTTTTATCATTTTTTTTTAAATTATACCAATATAAATATTATCAAAATAAAATTTTAAAAAATAAAACAAATAACAATGGCAATATTTTGAAGTTTTGGAAGCAGGAAAATTTATTTCCTTTTTTGAGAAAATTAGAGAGTAAAATTTTGTCAGCCTTGGCAAATTCGGCTTCTAGTGAAAGGTTATTTTCTCTAGCCAATCGCCTATTAGAGGAAAGGCGTACACAATTGAAATAAAAAAAAATAGACATTCTTCTTTTTCTAAGTAAAAATTTGGATTTATAATGTATATTTATTTTTTGTTATTATGGATTATGGAATTAAAGAAATAAATAGAATAAATTCAAAAAAGTGTAAAAAAATTATAGCATTAAAGTTTTGAAAAATTTAAAAACACCGTGAATTTTCGGGTGTGAAACAAAATATTGCCTTTCGTAAGCGGGCGGGTTCGGGTTGAAATTTTTTTAGTGGTAAGCGTGAATGAGCGTGAATATTTTCATTGCCACATTTATTTTTTTACATTTAATTTATATTAAAACCATTTTTTCGAGTATTTAAATGATTTAAAGCATAAAAGTAGTGTTGTTAAACGACTCGTTTTGAGCCGATTTTTAAAAACGGCTAACTCAATACTTAACCTAGAAAAATATTATACAAGCCTGAAGATTTTGCTCATAGAAGGAACAAAGGCACATACATATATTGTCGAAATCTCAAGGCTTAGGCTATATTTTTCCGGCTAAAATATTGAGTTAGTCATTTTTAGAAATCGGCTCAAAACGAGCCGTTTAACAACAATACATAAAAGTAATACATATTAAATATCTCTAAAAAATAAAATTTTCTGGTGCCAGCCAGGCGGCAAAAAAATATAATTTAATTGTTTTTTTAAAAAAAATATTCCGAATCCCCTTAAATATTTTTTTAAAAATTTTTTATTTTTGTTATAAATATCTGAACCATAACCGTAACCGAACCGATATAATTATTTTTTGAAGGAGTAAAAAGAACCTTTATAAAAAACGGTTAAACCGGCTCAATTTTTATATTTTGGAAATGGAAATAATTTGAATATCCAGAATTATATAAACGTGCTCTTATAGTACTGGCGATCCCCGCAACACAAGTTTCTGTAGAAAGGGCTTTTTCGGGGCTAAAATTTGTGTTATCGTCACAACAAACAAAAAGGAATCCATTTATACTTGAAAATATATTACTTATAAGTTCAAATAATATATTTAGAGTTATTTTAAATCTTATATATTTTTTTTATATATAATTCATAGATGTTTATAATAAAAATAAATTAGAAGATGGTGTTGCTTCAATAAAAAAAAATATCTAACCGTAATGAACCTTTATAATTAGCTGAACCGAACGGAACCTTTATATAAATTTCTTCTCAAGAACCGTAACCCAAACGTAACCATTATAATTTTTTATATACTGAACCAGTACCGTAACCAAACTGAACAGTTATAAATAACGGTTCGGGTCCCTGCTTAAATGTTCAACGAAATGCCATATTGCATTGAATAATTGTTGCAATAATTCGGATTTTTTATAAATATATTTTTTAAAACAAAAAAGTCTTAACCTCATCCCTTTTCATTCATTATATTTCTTAATTTTATAATATTTACTCTTTTTTTAAATTCTCTTTTTAAATCCCTTATTTTAACATTTTAATTATATGGTGCCAGCCGCAAAAAAGAGATGAAAAAGTAATTATTATTTTTTTTTTCATGGGGATTCGGAATATTTTTTAAAATAATATTTCGAATAAAACGTGGGGATTCCGAATCCCACATGATTCCATATCCCAATACGACACATATATATATAAGATTATAATATTATTTTCATTATATAAACCTAAAATTTATAAATTTTTGTAAATAAAATTATGAAACATGTCCGAAATCTTCCATAAAAAAAATAAAGAAATAAAACAAAACGAGAATAAAATACGGAAAATAACGCGCCGGCCGCCGATAGTTTGTCGGCGCACAGGTCTAAATATAGCCCTTGTTTCCTTCATCTCATTAACCTTATCAGTAAAAAATATTGCCTCGCAAATTATTACCATCGATTAAGATAATTTATTAGATGAAGCCTTACGTTGTTGGAACATTAATGTTTTACCAAACACAGCCCCGCCAGATTCAACGAAACAAAAAGATTGGGATCAAGGATTGGTATCTCGTTCCTTAGCTTACCTCAACTTGAGCGATGATCACCAATATAAATCCCTCCTAAGATCTCTTAATTTCAACAACTCTGGCCATGAATGATTAGATTCATATCTCAGTATTTTAAATAACCAGCTAATAGATAACGACGCTTTTCGTTATGCAATCAATTTACGCTTGGGCGTACCTTTCCTAAACCATTATATTTGAAATAAATGCAATCAATCGGCAGACGCGTATGGGAGACACGCTCTCCGCTGTAAATTTATATCAAAAATCAGCCGACATGATAAAATAAATGAAATAATAGCTTCTTTTTTAAATAAAGCCAATTTTAGAACCTACATCCTTTTCAGATAAAAAACGCCCTGACGGCAAAACCGTCGTACCTTTTTTCATGGGAAAGCCTTTAATGTGGGATTTTACCTGCATTGATCCCATGGCTCCATCCAATAATTCCCATGATCCCCTTAACAGAGCCGAATCTCTAAAAAATATATAATACTCACACCTAATGTGTGATAACCACTCTGTTCCAATAGCAGCTACATCAACCTGCTCTTTTGGACAAGCGGCTTTAGATCTATTCAAAACAATATCCAAATCAATAAAAAAATCATACCTTTCTCCATTTTACAAACTCAAGCAGAAAATCGCCGTATCTATAATTAGATCTAATTATCAAATATTTAAAACATCATGGCCCGACCTCGCCATTTGATATTTCTTTTTTTTAATGTTTTTTTTTCTTTTTATAAAAATATACATTTGTATTTTATTTAACTTAAATTGATATATGACATTTATTATATTCTCTATATTTTAATGTTAATTTTTAAATAATTATATTTTATCATATTTATATATGAATTTTAATATAAATTGAATTTTTAATAAAAAAAAATTAATCTATTAATTTTATATATAAGGCTATGCCCTATATATATTTCAAAAAGCCTCAAAATTTCAAAACTTTTTAAAATTATGAAACATGTCCAAAATCTTCAATTAAAATTTTTTATAAATTTATAATTTCTACCAATTTATTTTTTACTTTCCATTTCGATTAATATAACTGCTCGTTTTTTCGTTAAAGTTAGAAAAGTTTATTAATTGTATTTTTGATATTTAGGTTAAAAGCGTAATAAACTGCTTATGTTTCACAAGGAAACAGAAATAATTAGTGGTAAATCCATGTGTCCTGGTTCATCTTAATTATTGAAACTTATATCTGTATAGACCAGTCTGTTCAGATTTTGAACTAAGGTCACCCTATTCAGTTTTGTTTTAAGTGTAAACTAAATCTAAACAACCTCTTTCTTTTTATTCTATTTATTAGACTGTGTCCAAAACTATTTTAAAAAAATTTGAAAAGTTTTTGCCAATTTTAATGAAATCGTATGTTAAATTTTCTAGAATAATATTCTAGGCATGTTTTATTTTTGTAGCTTATTTATAAATTTTCATTAAAGTTTAAGTTTGTGAATTTAATTTTTTAATATTTTGAACGCAGATATATAGAAGGCTAAACAGATTTCTGTTTAGAAAATAGGAGTCAAAACACGAACCTTAAAGCGGGGGAATTTTTTTCACTTTAAATCCAGCTCTTGTTTGTAAATCACATTATTTACATTTTTTTTAAAAAAATATTTGCGTATAATATAAAACTATATAAAAATCTATTTTAATTCAAAATTTTAGAATATTTTTAAATCGTTTGTCTTGAATATCGGTATTATCCTGGTAATTGTATAATTTTCTACGCGGAATATGCTTCAAAGCGACATTCCAATCTCCCGTATTTTTAATATCCAATAATATCCCCATAACGTGATTTAAGGGTAAATCTTTCTTACCCAAACCCCATCTAAACAATTTAATTTTTTTTAAAAAAAATAATTATATATTATAATTATATAAATTATAATTTGATGTATTATAATTAGTTTATTTATTGCAATATATATATTGTAAATATAAATAATTCGTAGGAGTTAGCAGAACGTTAAATGTTATCTGACCAGCTGATATTTCTAGCTTCTTTTAGTTCCCAAGAAAAATTTAATTACTAAATAGAATGATTTTTAAGTGGGCTCACTAAACTTTATCGAAATAATAACTTAATAACATTATATATATCCAAGTTTTAGACCTTAAATAACGATCTATTGGCAATTTATACGTTTTAACTTTTTCCCTTTTCGCTTTCGCTAATGAGTAAGGTTTGCTAGAACTCTTTTCAACTAAGGCACCTATCACATAAGTCGCAAAAGGATCATATACTTCCATATAATTCTTAAAATTTTTTTATCACCATAAAAATAAATGTATATCAAAATTTAACATTAGTGTTGTTAAACAGCTTGATTTGAGCCGATTATTAAAAAGGGCTAACTCAATATTTTAGCCAGAAAAATATTGTCTAAGTCTCTAGATTTCGCTAATAGATGTCCAAATTATTGTGCTATCTCTAAGTAAAATCTTCAGGCTTGCGTAATATTTTTAAGGATAAAATATTGAGTTAGTCATTTTTAAAAACCGATTCAAATCGAGCCGTTTAACAACATTGTATTATTAAATAAATTAGTTTTTTTTTTAAACAAGCAAAGTAGGGCTGCGCCGATATTAAATATTGAATCGGCACCAATATTTAACGTTTTAAAAAAATTGATCCGATATTTTTTATTGCTTTTGGTTATTTTATGATTGCATATAAATTTTTTTTTATTTTCTAAATAATTACGTAGTAAAATAACGAGAGGAACTAAAATATAATTTATTTGCTGTAATTAGTGTTGTTAATAGACTGTCGACTTAATCGAAAACTGAGCCAAGTAGTTATAAACTCGAGTCGACTAGAGGACGAGTATTTAAAAAAATTTTTATTATTAATTAACAAAACAACTATTTTTTTACTTATACTTCCAATTTGAGTCGTGAAGAGTTATATACTCTAGTTGACTAGAAGATGAGTAGTTCTTATGAACCTGACTCAACAAGTTGAGTCGACTAGAGGAAAGAGGATGAGTATTTCAAATTTGTTATTATTAATTAAGATATTTGTTCTGTTTTTTATATTTTTTTACTTTTGATATCCAACTTTAGTCGTGAATACGAGTTATACAGCCTGTAAAGTTTAAACAAATAGTTAAAAATTTTACTCTATTTATTTAAAATATTATCTGCAATAAGAAAAGGATTTTAAAATATCTAACGTGTCAATTCAGCGATTGTTAAATGGCTCGATTTCGACAATCTTTAAAAACGGTTAACTCAAGATTTGGGCAAAAAGTTATTGCAGAAAGGTTTGGACTTTTATTGGCAAAATTTCGAGCCTTAGGTTATAATATCTTAGCTAAAATCTTGATTTAGCCCTTTTTAAAAATCGGCCAAATGGAGCTGTTTAACAACATAACACATTCACCCTGCAAATATTAATGATATAAACTTCTGGAGTATTAAAAAAAACAAAATAGACTTTACCCCGTGAAAGTTGGTTGGCTTCTTTTAAAATAGATAATATAGATATTTTTATGACATTGGTTCAAAGATGAATGGTAAATAATAATCAATATAGATATCGGATCGGTTTTTTTTAGTGATATAAGACTTATGAAAAATTTGTGGATCGGTATAGCCCTAATGCAAAGTTTTATGTTTAAAAAAATATACCGGTGCATTTGGTGAAAGATATATCAGATTTTCGTGCGGAAATAAATCTAAAAGTATTTATATATTATTTGCAAAAAAATGTATTCAGTAGTAATAAAATACAGTATCAAATCAACCCAACCTTAATTATAAAATTAGCTCATTAAATAAACGAAACACTCAATCAAATTATTCTAATAGAGCAAAACAAGACCATATAACATTTTTTTGTAAATTAATATTGTTTTCAGTTATATACTGATATTAACTCTCTAAGGATTATTCGAAAATTTATAGAAAATAAATGCCGGAAATATTTGAGTAATCTACTTTTAAATATTAATAAATAAATAATAAACGGTAAAACATATTATTTGGGTTGGGAGCAACAATATTCCCAACTTAGACAGTTGCCTAATTTATAGAGACTTTTTACTTTTTTTTAAAAAAAAAACATTTTAAATCATTTTTAAATTTGAAGGTTAGCAAAAAAAGTGTGATTATTGTTCAACCATTTTCAAATAATTTTTTTATTTTTATTAATTCATCAAAATCATGAATAAATGTTTATATGTTAGCGGCAATGTGTTATTATTTTTTAACTGTAAATAATTTTTTGAGCGCGTTTTTAAAATTTAAAAAATCTGATTTTACCGTAAATGTACTCCAGCATGCTTAGAATACCTATCTTATGAATTCCAGATAATTTTGTCGTTAACTTTTGAGGCATTTATAAATGGAAAGACGAATTATATTAAAAAAACACATTGTAACTAACACATACATATACTTATACAAAAGAAGAATGTGCACATATATAAAATTATTATATAATGGTTGTAGTGTTGTAAACGAAGTTCGTTTTTTTGAAAAAAGGTGATGAACGGCGTTCCTTTTTTTTTGACGAACTTTGAACGTGAACGCGTTCCTTTTCTTTGATGAACGCGTTCAATTTTACGTTCGTTCAATTTTAAAAACACTTTTTATTTTTATTTATTTGAAAAATTAATATTAATCCGCATTTTTTAACAAAAAAGTCTTATATTTTTATTTATTTGAAAAATTAATATTTAATCCAATTTTTTAACAAAAAAGTCTTATATTTTTTAATCAGCTGTTTTTACTTTTTCCTCTTTCATATTGCAATTAACGTACCATAACGTATTACTACTAGAGAAGATAAGATTAAAGTTTATTAATTTGAATATTTTAATTTAATAGATTAGCATTTGCATGGATATAAATATTTCATCATCAGATTCTGAAAATCAAAATTCAATATTAGATGAATTAGAATTAGGCCCAAATATCAAAAATATTTCACTGTTTTAAAATCAAAAGGTAATTCAATAGTTACCAAATGTAAAATGTGTCCAAAAAGTATTATATCAGTGTCAACATCTTCAAGCTCCAATTTAAAAAGACATCTGATTGTAACATTAATTATTTTATATTATATAATATGTATAACTATATAGCCAGTTAATAATTTATTTTAATTGTTCTAAGTAAAAATAATTACATAATATATATATATAGTTAATTATAATAAGGCACTTTAATATTAGTATTTAAGAAAAAAAACTTATAAATTAATTTTTTTATCGATCTATTATATTGTATTTATAATTATATTATCAAAATAAAACTATTATTTTTTTATCATGGCTAATATATTGTGTTGAAAAATATAAGGCATTTATTTATATTAAATTAAATTTTAAAAAAAATTTATCATAAAATTTTGAACGCATGAACGCGTTCCTTTTTTTAAATTTGAACGTGAACGCGTTCGATTTTTGTCAATGAACGTTGAACGCGTTCGATTTTTGTCAATGAACGTTGAACGCGTTCGATTTTTTTAAAAATGTTTACAGCACTAAATGGTTGTATATAAAATAAGAATAAAAATTAATTTATGTAATAAAATAAGATGTTATCTTTTTTTGGTATATGTTTTATTTGCATGACATTTGAAAATATCTTCTTTGGATTTGTGAATATTGTACAAACAATTTCTTTAAAAAATACTAATCTTTTAGCATATTCTCTTTGAGTATTATGATATAGGAATTTGATAATCTCTATTTTTTTTTTAAATTATTGATAACTTATTCTATTTGTTTCTTTATTAATTTTGTTATTTGACATGAATAAGTTTTAAAATAAGATGAAATATGAATGAATGCAATAAAACAAATGCTCACTTTATAGTGGTCTTACACAAGAAAAAAATTAAACATCTACCCACTTCTTAAGGTAGAGAGTTGTCCAAATTATTAAAATATTTTTTAATAATATTTAATAGGAATTTGATTGTAACTCCAAATTTTGTAAATTGAGGAGTTTAATTAAACAGGCAAGAATATAATTTATTCTTTAAAGAAATTTATTTTGTATTATAAAATGTGGGACTAAAATAGGTGCCCATGAAAACTACGTGCTCCCATAGGCCCCCTATGAAAGAAGCTTAATTTAATTTAAATTATATTAATATAGAATCGTATTTAGCTTCATAAGATGAGTTAGAAAATGTTTTTTTTAATTTTTAAAATATAATTTTAACATTTTATATACCTTTTAATAAGCTCTATAGGATTTGGTGATTTATTTTTTTATAAATTAAGCTTCTTTAATAGGGAGCACGTATTTTAGTCATGTAAAAAAATGATTTTTTTTTAAATTTTACTATGTTACGATTTTTTTTTAAATTAAAAAAAAACATTTTCTAACTCATCTTATGAAGCTAGATACAAATCTATATTTATATAATTTAAATTAAGCTCCTTTCATAGGGGGCATGTAGGGGCGCATGGTATTCAGGAGTGCATATTTTAGTCATAACCTAAAATCAAATAAAAACAATTTCAACTTTTATCATATGGGTTCTATTTGTAACTAAATAAAAATTTCAGTAAAATCAATTTTTTAATCAAAAAAACTAATTTTAAAGATAATTTATTAAATTAATGAATAATATATAGTATAGACCTGTAAAATTAAAATAAGCATAAGCCCAACTGGAGACATTTGGCATTTTTTTAGATCTAGGTGCAGCCCATAGCTATTTAAAAGCTTGAGGATAAATTTAAAATAATATTAATTCTATTCTCCTATAACATTATACAGTTGTGATTTTCATAAAATTTAAGACATATAGTTTAATTATTTTATAATAAAAACTATACCTAAATAAGATTTATCTGTTGCTTCTATAAATGCATTTTCAATGTCAACCATACGTTTTTGAATTATATCTAATAAAGATTCAGACTTTGTAGATATTTGACCATTACTATTTTGATTTGGATTCATTTTATGACAATTACAGAATAATATATTAAAAGGTTGTTTATTTGATCTATTAAGATGATGCATTTCACGAATTTGATTAGCTGTTTCACCCTTTTCATATAAATTCATGTGTTTATCAAATTCCATATCTAACACCAAATTGGGTTCACCTATTACTTTATTTAATGCCAATCTATGTGCAAAAAAGTTTTTCATTTTTGCTTCTCTAATGTAGAAAAACATACTATTTTCTTTTAAACCATAAAGAATATGACCAGCTTGTTCATCTAAAACAGATTTTCTAATTTCATATCTTTTTTTAACTTGTTTATCTTTTTTAGCCTTATAATTGGCTGTTGACATTTCATTTTTAAATAAATACCGATAATATTTAACTCTTTGTTGTTTTGATGGTAGATTTAAAAGATTTTCCCACTGAATATCTGTAACAACTGATGGCACTTTATGGACAGAATAGGAATGGCTAGTGCTTGAATTATTATGGGTTTCTTCGTCTGGTATAAATGTATCAGGATTATCAGAAGTATTAATTCGTGATGACATATCAAATTTTAAAAGTTCATATTCCATTTTTAAGATTGCCAACTTTTTTTCTTTATCTATATATTCTAATTCATTGTCATGCTTTGATCCATTTTCCATACTGAACATTTTTGTTTGGGTAATATGAGAATTCCTTATTATTTTTAAATTTGTCTCTTTGATATTTTGTTGATTAAAATTTATTAATTTAGATGAGCTAAAATATTTTTTGCTAATATTTGCACATATAATGAAAGAATTATTTGAAATATTTCTAATAAGAAAATTTAACTTTTTCATCGAAAAGTAAATAAAGTTTAAAAATCTAACCGATGGATAAAGAGTGTCAATACATTATAATCCAAATATAGTGTTTCACACGTCGCGCTATATTGATATGACACAGGATATTGATATGACACTGGATATTGATAGATGCATAATTTGGGTTTCAATTAGAGGTCTGCAATGGACAGGTAAAACTTACTCGTCCGTCTGCTCATTTGTTTGAAATTTATACCCGCTCACCCATTAAAATAAGTTTTTATACCCTTTCACCCATTTAAACATTAAATATGCCCATTCCAGGGGCATACGTAGGAATTCGTTGGGGGGTGGGGGGGGGGGGGGGGGGTAATTAAATTTTTTTATAAAAATTATTTTAGAATTTATTTAATAATATATCGTAAGTTTAATAATTATTTATCAAGGCTACTATAAAATATTGTCAATTTATAATACATAAATTTAAATTTTTTTTACTTATATTTTTTTGCTTATAGATAAGACAAAAGTTTGTATATCTATTAGAGAAATCTCGAGACTTATTGTTTTTCTGGATAAAATATTAAGCTGACCGTTTTTAAAAATTGGATAATAGAGTAATTTAACATCACTTCTTCTCAAGTATGGTTTTCAAATTGTAAGAAGAAAATGTTCTTTCATTAGTAGCTAACATAACAGTACTATTAGGTAGAGTTGTCAAAATAAATAATAACCCATATATATATTAGGAAAATAATCTAAAATGTTTTTGAAATTATGCTAACTATAGCATTTTTTGGAACATTATCAACCATATTTAACCATTTGCACTATAGTTTGTATTTAGTTTTGTTAAATAATAGTGATTATACCTTTCGGTCAAAATTTTATATTAACATTTTTTTTATATATATCATTTTAATGTGACATTTTTTTTATTGACTTTGTATTTAAATTTAATCGGTGAAAATTTTATATTAACATTTTTTTATACATCAATTTGTATTAGTTATTTTTTTTATTATTCTTTTAAAAAAAGATATATAAGGAGATAAAAAAATGTAATTTAAAAAAAGAAAATTTTGTATTTAAATTTAATCGGTGAAAATTTTATATTAACATTTTTTTATACATCAATTTGTATTAGTTATTTTTTTTATTATTGTTTAAAAAAAAGATATATAAAGAGATAAAAAAATGTAATTTAGAAAAGAAAATAAATATGTAATATATCATATAATAATATTTAAATTATGATTAAAAATAAAATGTGATATCATTATCTATCAAATAATAAATGTGGATTTTAATTCAATTTCAACATGGAGGCCAATCTACGTCCGAACTTTGCGTAAGTACTATCTCAAAATTTGATCTTGATTTTGCAATGTACATTTATTCTATTTCACCGCCTAGTATCGATGACAACGCCTACATAGGGAAATTGCAGAATTTCTTCAACACCAGCAAGATCTCCAACGGAGAAAAGGCCGCTTTATTTTTCCGAAGTCTTCCTGATGACGAATTCAATAATATTGGGGCAATTTGCACTGAGGAAGACTTCCAGGACCCATTCGCCTGCTTGGCAAATTCAAGTTACAACATCCATCGAAGACCGACAACGCTAAATTATCATTATTTTTTGCTGCAACTCAAGGCAAGGATGAGACATTCTCGGCTTGGGTCACGCGCGTAGCACGACTCAATAAAGAATGTAAATTTAATGGCATTCAGAGAATTATTGAGAAAGTGAGAGTATCTTCGTATTCCAAAGATGTCAGGAAAGCGGTCTAGAGCTCTATGACCATAGAAGACATTTACAATCTAGGTCTAAAGTAAGACACCGCGGACCCAAGTGGCATCAAGGGCGAGATGAAATTGTTACATTTGAATGAATCACCTGGTGTACAAGAGGTTAATCACATAGGCAGAGTCAAAAATAGTTACGTAACAACAAAACCCATTCAGGACTCTCACGCACATGGTAAATCTCTTATCAAGCAACCCCAGTTCATCAATGACAATCGCTCCGCACAGCATTTCGATGAACGTTACGATTTACGCTGCGACTATTGCCGTGACAAACGATTTGATGAACGTTACGATATACGCTACGACAACGACCGCGACAAACGATTCAACGGATAGCACAACAAATTCCACGACAATCGTTTTGATCAAAGCTATGATAATTGTCACTATAACCGCAACCGTTTCGATAATCGCAACGATAACTACTACGACGATCGATACAACAATAGCGAGTACTCCATGGTGCCACGACTGTGACCATCATCAAAGCCCTGATCGACCGGATGACTGCTATAGAGTTGTAACCGAACCAACTATCCCCGTCGTGGTCAGCAAAGATACAACCCTCAAAATATTAATGGTTTTCCGAAATATTCTTTGAGGCCCAACCAGTATAAAAATGACAATAATACTTACAATAGTGTTACATTTGAATATTTATTATTGTAAGATATATTTAAAGGTCACCTTATATTTGTATATTATATTATTCCGACATGTAATATTATATTATCGAGGTTAATCAAATTGCATATTATTAGAAGTTAAATTGGATAATTATATAAATGTATATATACCAAAAGAATTACAAATAAAAGTATTATCGTTTTTTAAAAAAACTTTAATCGATATAAGGCGACGAGGTAAAAGGTCGCGCGGATTTCGGTCTTCGGTCAAGTTAAATATTATATAGAATTATAATTTTTTTTTGTTAAAAAAGATAAATAAATAAATTGATTTAGCAATTATGGATAAAAAATGAATGAGATAAATGGGCTACTGACGACTATAGACACATAAAATATCCTCAAAATTTTCTATTGATAGAGGAGCAATTGATTTCATTAGATTAAGTCGCGGCCCTACTAAATTCACAATAAAGAATTAAGAATTCGCGATCAATTATTGGCCGGAGAACTATGTTTACGATACCCAGAAAAGACGAAGACCAACCGTGAAACTTAACAAAATTATAAAATTTATGATAATGATAAAGGGCACCATCAAAATGATTGATGCAGCCTATTTAGATTCCATGGATTATAGAATTTATACGATAAAGGCACGATGCAGCCTATTTAGATTTCCATGGATTATAGAATTTATGATAATGATAAAGGGCAATATCAAAATGATTGATGCAGCCTATTTAGATTTCCATGGATCATAGAATTTATACGATAAAGGCACGATGCAGCCTATTTAGATTTTCATGATTATAGAATTTATAATGATAAAGGGTCTCAAAATGATTGATGCAGCCTATTTAGATTTCCATGGATTATAGAATTTATGCGATAAAGGCACGATGCAGCCTATTTAGATTTTCATGATTATAGAATTTATAATGATAAAGGGTCTCAAAATGATTGATGCAGCCTATTTAGATTTCCATGATTATAGAATTTATAATGATAAAGGGTCTCAAAATGATTGATGCAGCCTATTTAGATTTCCATGGATTATAGAATTTATAAGGGCACTATCAAAATATTGATACAGCCTATTTGGATTTCCGTGATAAAATTTGACACAGCAGGAAGAATTTGACTTATCGTTACCAACATATGTAGAAATTAACATGATCAACAATATAATGATAATGGTAACGTGAATATTGACAAACTATATAGAGTAACCTGGAGTACTCCAATGGTAGTGGTTCGTAAAACTTCAGGTGAACTACGATTGAGAATAATTCTACCAACGAATCGCAAAAATCGCTATAGATCTACAGATAAATGATGATAAAATAACAAGCGAAAATATAACAGTGATGGTGGGAACAATTGGTCGAAAAACTAGAATCGCCATCACAATCCTGGAAAAGGGTAGAAGAAAAAGGAAAAAAAAATAAACGTACAAAACCGTATTAAAACATCCCGACCAACTACTCGAAATCAAATCAATAATAACAATTGAATCAAGTCAAAAAGGAAGGCAAACGGGTTATCCAACAACGGAACTAAAGCCATCAAAAAGATTAATAGATGAAATTGAACTTGGTAAATAAAAAGATTGCTAGACGATCTTAGCTTGGTGGGAAAGAAGATATGTTACATTTGAATATTTATTATTGTAAGATATATTTAAAGGTCACCTTATATTTGTATATTATATTATTCCGACATGTAATATTATATTATCGAGGTTAATCAAATTGCATATTATTAGAAGTTAAATTGGATAATTATATAAATGTATATATACCAAAAGAATTACAAATAAAAGTATTATCGTTTTTTTTAAAAACTTTAATCGATATAATAAATAGATCTTCTGATTACAAAGATTGTGATTGTCAATTGAATACGAACCATGCTATGAACATCGAAGTAATTGATGATGATGACGACTCAAACACCTTAAAGAATATAATCTGCAGAATTTGTAAGTGTACAATCTGGGGGTCAAAAATACCATATATGACGCATGCAACATGACAGTGAGCATCAACAACATACCCACGTTGACGCAAGTTGACACCGGTACCAGGTATAGTATACTTCCGAAGCTGACAGCTAAGACTGTAGGCATAACAGCAATGCGTAAGACGGATATTAAACTCATTGGTTATGATGGCAGCGCTATCAAAATATTAGGTCTTGCCAATGTGAACGTTAAGTATGAAGGAAACTCACATACACTGGAGGCCATTGTAGTAGATTGTGATAATGTTCCCCTGCTAGGACGTATGTGGTTACATGCCTTCAATAACATATTAAAATCGTTCGTTGTGGGTAACATAGATGATGATCTTGAAAAGGTTATATCGGTAATGAAAAAAGACCTCTCATCAACACGCTACCATAAACCTAATATGATCAGACAAGTGAAAATTCACTTGAAGCTCGATGCCGTGCCTAAAATCATACCTCCAAGAAGAGTTCCTTATGCCAGGGTTGATGCGATGACTCGTGAATTAGACGGCTGGATAAAGGACAACATCATAGAGCCAGTATCTCAAGTCAGATGGGCAAGTCCATTAACTCCTGTTTTCAAAGGTGACGGTACCATGAGGTTGTGTGCTGATTTTAAAG